ACATTATAAAATACATGATGCTAAGTGTTTTGCTTACGCTTCACATCACGGGCTAGTCTGCGTTACGGAATTGCGCCGAGCCTCTTGTTGTATTTCATTATATAGACAGAAACCTCTTTCACACGGAAACATCTGCTAACAATGCGAATTTGCATTCAGAGGTTACACCTTTTGAGAGCAGGAGGCCATTTGCCTGGAAGACCCACCCTCCTTTGTGTGCAAGTTATCTCTAAACTCTTAAAAACTTTATTACCTTTTGTTTTACTTGTTTGGGAATGAGACCTTTGTACCAGTCGCACTGAGACATTTCAAATGATACCAAACATGTGTAATACTGTATGATAATTATTCACATTCAGTGATGGGAATAACGGCGTTATAAATAAACGGCGTTACTAACAGCATTATTTTTTTCAGTAACGAGTAATCAAACTAATTACTGTTTCCTCCGTTACAACGCCGTTACCGTTACTGACAATAAAATATGCCGTTACTATAATTGACCTCACTGAAGCGGTTTTCATCCAGGCTCTCTCTTCTCCGCCATAGGACCTGCAAAGTTTTTCCTCTGGTGTGTGTTTATGAGGCGCCGGACTGGACAAAAGCGAAGCGAACGCGCTCGATAGTGCGCGAGAGAGACCGAGTGTGTCCGAGAGCGCGCTCGATAGTGCGTGAGAGAGACCGAGTGTGTCCGAGCATAATTGTTTATAAATAAAGTACACATTTCAGCATTAGAATAATCTCTGTAGCATATGGTATCATCTGCAACGTTTTAATTCGTTTGCATGGTTATAAAATAAAACAAGAATAACCTGCAGGGAACGTTCCCAGACCGGTTGTGAACACCTGTGGCAAACACGACTAGAATTTGGCTTAAATAACCTCTGATGATGACGTTCTCTGTAGGTTATAAAATTAAAACCCCAAAATATTATATTTTATTATTATTATTTATGTTGGTACATTGTTCAGTATTATATTGAGAGCAGTTTTTGTTAAACTGTTTACTTTTGTGAGGAAGAAAATACTTCAAGTAGGCTATACAGTATGTCTACCAGTTGTAAAGGTGAGTTTTATATTTCATTTTTTATTTAATTTGCACTACAAAGAGTTTGTGTATGTACACTCACCGGCCACTTTATTAGGTACCCCATGCTAGTAACGGGTTGGACCCCCTTTTGCCTTCAGAACTGCCTCAATTCTTCGTGGCATAGATTCAACAAGGTGCTGGAAGCATTCCTCAGGGAGTTTGGTCCATATTGACATGATGGCATCACACAGTTGCCGCAGATTTGTCGGCTGCACATCCATGATGCGAATCTCCCGTTCCACCACATCCCAAAGATGCTCTATTGGGTTGAGATCTGGTGACTGTGGAGGCCATTTTAGTACAGTGAACTCATTGTCATGTTCAAGAAACCAATTTGAAATGATTAGAGCTTTGTGACATGGTGGAAGTAGCCATCAGAGGATGGGTACATGGTGGCCATAAAGGGATGGACATGGTCAGAAACAATGCTCAGGTAGGCCGTGGCATTTAAACGATGCCCAATTGGCACTAAGGGGCCTAAAGTGTGCCAGGAAAACATCCCCCACACCATTACACCACCACCACCAGCCTGCACAGTGGTAACAAGGCATGATGGTTCCATGTTCTCATTCTGTTTACGCCAAATTCTGACTCTAACATCTGAATGTCTCAACAGAAATCGAGACTCATCAGACCAGGCAACATTTTTCCAGTCTTCAACTGTTCAATTTTGGTGAGCTCTTGCAAATTGTAGCCTCTTTTTCCTATTTGTAGTGGAGATGAGTGGTACCCGGTGGAGTCTTCTGCTGTTGTAGCCCATCCGCCTCAAGGTTGTGCGTGTTGTGGCTTCACAAATGCTTTGCTGCATACCTCGGTTGTAATGAGTGGTTATTTCAGTCACTGTTGCCCTTCTATCAGCTCGAACCAGTCTGGCCATTCTCCTCTGACCTCTGGCATCAACAAGGCATTTCCGCCCACAGAACTGCCGCTCACTGGATGTTTTTTTCTTTTTCGGACCATTCTCTGTAAACCCTAGAGATGGTTGTGCGTGAAAATCCCAGTAGATTAGCAGTTTCTGAAATACTCAGACCAGCCCTTCTGGCACCAACAATCATGCCACGTTCAAAGTCACTCAAATCAACTTTCTTCCCCATACTGATGCTCGGTTTGAACTGCCTGAGATTGTCTTGACCATGTCTACATGCCTAAATGCACTGAGTTGCCGCCATGTGATTGGCTGCTTAGAAATTAAGTGTTAACGAGCAGTTGGACAGGTGTACCTAATAAAGTGGCCGGTGAGTGTATATTTTGTATTATTTTTTATACATTTCTTAAGAAGCATATATTTTTTAGACTTATTTGTTGTGGTGTGCAATAAATATTAAAAGTTCTAAACCATCTATTGTGTTTTGTCGTTCCACTATAGTAATGATACTATTTTAATATTTAACTTAATAGGTTTCTCGCACATTGTCCCACAGCAACATTAAAATAGTTTAGATTGGTGTACAATGTTTTATAATAATATTTCTTTCTATTTACTGTCCATTTCATTCATTTAACATATTTAATATTGGGGGTATCCAAGTTATTTCACATATTTTTTTTATTTTTTTATTAAAGGAACGCAATAGTTACTTTCCCAGGTAATTAGTTACTTATGTAATAATGTAACTCAGTCACTAACTCAGTTACTTTTTGTGAGAAGTAACTAACTATAACTAATTACTTTTTTAAAGCAACTTACCCAACACTGTTCACATTAAACCATATAGATTTTTGGGTGAATTTCAGGTGATCTCAGCATGATAGAAAGAGGGAACGGGGGGTCAAGGGAAAAAGATGTAGATTAGGATTGCTTAGGCGAGTCTTGCGTCTCGAATGGTGGTGAGAACTTCACAAGAGAGAGTTCAAATGTTAATTTCCTATGTTTTCCTTTTGAGAGTAGCCCTCTCTTCCAGTTCTTCCAGTTCCATGTGACAAAATTAGATCTAAATTAACCAGAACCGAGCAATGTACGGGGATTGCTAGTCACATCCAAAGTAGTATCTAGAGCCCTTGCATTCTTACTATCCTCGATTAAAGTTTCGATGCGTGTCTCTAGTTCTGAAATCTTCTCTTTCAGCCTAACTATATCCCTGCATTTATCACATGTGAAACCCAGAGAAGAGAAGACTATGCAAAACATGTGGCAGACAGTGCAAGTGACAATAACAGGAGATGATGACATGACTCAGTGTTTACCTGTATTTTGAATGGTGCATTGTGTTGTGTTTTAGGGTTAACGGAAATTTCCATAAAATCACTGAATAATGTCCCAATGTCTGGCAGAAAAATACCAGTACATTTTTTCATCTTTATATAGGCTATATCTTTTAAAGCCTTACACCAGTTTGCCTGTTAATATATAGGCCTATACTGTATTACGCTATAAAAATATATAGCCTAGCGCCAGTATTTCTGATAGAACTTGGTCCAAGAATTGCCTCTACCTGGAAGGTTGACAGTACTGATTATTCTTATGATTGAACTGAAATATATGTTGCGCTGCTAGAAATTGTAATTATGCCCACACAAAGAACCGGTATAATGTCGGGAAAAATAGGTTGGAGACAATCCTCGTGAATTTGCTGTGACCTACAATGTGTTTTTTTTTTAGCTTTTCTGCTGACATTGGAACTTTCATGTCTTGCTTGGTGTAAGGGAGAAATGATTTGTTTTGATTAAGAGTGAGTGAGCTCTGTACCTATATAATGCATCAGAAAAATTCAAAACAATGACCATTATATTTTTGGAACATCGACATCATATTGCTTACGTGTAAGCATGTTATGTTAAGAACAAAGCAGGGGAAATTTTAATGTACAGTCAAAGGCCAGCATTTTTGCATTTTTGTTCGTCAGAAATGACCTACTCCTGTCACTAAAAGCAAAGCTGTAGTACTGCCTTGAACGTATCCCACTACTACGCTACAGAAGCTGCTCCTTCGACTGAAAGCTTGCTGCATTTCACAAAAATCAACATACAAAAATGATAATAAAATTGTACTATTTATGCACATATGATAAAGGAAAAAGAGCATACATGCATGCTGTAATGACGGGTGCTAAGAGGACGTCATCACTACTGCGATAATGACAGCATGTCTTATGTTTCTTTACGTTTGTTATTTATGGTTTTGTGTTTCTGTTGACTATGGCGCAGTTTATTAGGTTTAAAATACAATTGTTTATCTGGATCATTATTTTATAACATGCATTTGTAATGAGTTTGGGATATGCTGGTTGGGTTGATTGCGGATAGGTGCACATATCGGCGGTCATCCAACGTGTTATGTCTAACTGTAGTTATTGATGTATTTTTTTTCCATTAACCACACAGAGACAAGTTAGTGATGTATTTTTGTTATTTATTATTTCAAATCTGTATTTATCTCTACATGGCAAACGGTTACCCGTTGATTTTATCAAATATAATAATAATAATAATGTATATCTTTTTTTTATTATTGGACAAATTAGGGCATTCTGGGAAATAAAATGTGTTCTTACACCATGCTGAAATTGAATTATTACAAATAAATACAAATTTATTAGTGCATTTAAAAAAAAGAAAGATTGAGTACTTTGCTGTTTTTAGCACATGAGTAGCCTATATGTAATTCATGCTATAAAATAATTTATTTATTAATAAATAGATTATTAATGACCACTTGCAGCAGTTAAATTAATTTAATTGAATTTATTAGCATTTTATTGCCTTAATTCTAATTTTACATCCTTACTTCAAATTCAGGAATTTAATTGGATATGGTACACCATCTGATATTTATGATTTATTGTGTCATTGGTGTACATACAATGACAATACTGTTTTTACCGTGCCTAAAGAAAAAGAGTTTCATTCTAATAAAGGGTGTGACAGTGACTTTTCCCATGCCAAATATTAATCTATAAATCTTTTCTCTCAGCCTTAAAGTGTGTATGTCACTTGTGTGTGAACCACACTTGTGAGACAGAGGCAGAAGGAGCGTGTTGGAACTCAGTGATGCTCATAAATGGGAAGGAGGAGCCAGTGAAGTCCTGTGTGACCCCATCAGAGCTCAAGGGTCAGGTGTTCTGCCACAGCTCCAGAAACGTCTATAAACGCAACTGCTGCTTTACAGACTTCTGCAACAATGAGACGCTGCACTTCAATCCAGGTATGACAGGCCATTTTCATCTCCCATATTGTGTTCTAATTCTGAAATTGTCTGGTTCTAAAGTGTCCTAGAATTAAACATTATTAACAGTATTTGTTTTAGTGTGTGTTTGGTTTGGACTGTTTTTGTGTACTGAATAGCAAATCTTTCTTTGCTCAGTGAAAGTAAAACATGTATGACATAAGGCTGGTTGGGAAATTATCGGGCAGCCTGAGGGTTATTAATACTGTGTGTATCCTCCGAGCGGCTGTCTAACAGGTAGAGTTGGCTTGAGACTGGTGCACCAGAGTAGAGGATGGATTAATGGACCATTGTTAGGAAAAGGTGCCCTTTATGCCTGACCATTTCAGAAAAAAACAAAAAACAATTTTAACACATTTTAACGGGGACTCCAATATTTATATTAGTTGTCAACAATATGGGGCTTTCAGCTACTATTACATTTGGACCAAAATGACACTGAGGATGTCACTTCCACAAATATAAAAGACTAAGGGACAGATTAGGGCCCAAATAGGGCAAATTAGCGTGAGTGCGCAATTCCAAAAAAGCACCGATGGGAGTGGAAAGTTCTGGGGGTGATCTACAGACACGTGCAAATTAGAGAACACAGCCAGATCATTTCCATAATGACCAACGCAATCTACCAAGAGCAGCGCAATTAGCGTCTGGTTTAAGACACGTTTTTTTAGGCCATTAAATAATGGCGCAAATACCAGTAAATTGACTATCGCAAACCTTAGTAAATCACCTTGCATGATTCATTTAAATACTCTCCTCCCATACATTTTGCATCTGAAAATTAAACTCCTTCAAATGCATTTGCAATAAGACAGCCACAAAAATAACTGTGTCCATGCCTTTTCAGCGCTACTTTTTCACTGCATGTCTTTAGTAAATCCTGACAATAGTTTTTTAACGCCAAAAGAGGGTTTAGTAAAGCTGGTCCTAAAATGTTTAAAAAAGTGAGTAGCTGTAGGCTGAGACAGTGAGAGTTAATTCATATTTCAAGTTAATACATATTTGGTGGGCCACTGCCCCACCTGCCTCTGTATGAGCCACAGCTGCTGAAAAGTCCAACAATTTTTCAGTAATTTACCAAGTTTAATGTATGAAAACAGCTTTTGTTTGTATTTCCTTTCTGAGTTATTGAACATTGTTTAAAAAGGGTATGAAATTGCAATTGCAGTTATATTTTCTTTCCTGTTGTTTCGTACACTCAATGGCCACTTCATTAGGTACACCTGTTCAACTGCTTGTTAACACAAATATCTAATTCTAACTAAATATCTAACTCAATACATTTAGACATGTAGACATGGCCAAGATGACTATTGAATTTCAAACTGAGCATCAGAATGGGGAAGAAAGGTATAAGTGACTTTGAACTTGGCATGGTTGTTGGTGCTAGACGGGCTGGTCTGAGTATTTCAGAAACTGCTGATCTACTGGGATTTTCACGTACAACCATCTCTAGGGTTTACAGAGAATGGTCCAAAAAAGAGATATAATAATTCATTACATTTATATAGCGCTTTTCTAGGCACTCAAAGCGCTTCACATGGAAGGGGGAATCTCCTCAACCACCACCAATGTGCAGCATCCACTTGGATGATGCGACGGCAGCCATAGTGCGCCAGAACGCTCACCACACACCAGCTTACTGGTGGAGAGGAGACAGAGTGATGAAGCCAATCAGTGTATGTATATATGGGGATTATTAGGAGGCCATGATGGACAGAGGCCACTGGGCAAATTTGGCCAGGATGCCGGGGTTACACCCCTACTCTTTCGAAAGACATCCTGGGATTTTTAATGACCACAGAGAGTCAGGACCTCGGTTTAACGTCTCATCCGAAGGATATATCCTGTGAGCAGCAGTTCTGTGGGCATAAATGCCTTGTTGATGCCAGAAGTTAGAGGAGATTGGTCAGACTGGTTCAAGCTGATAGAAAGGCAACAGTAACTCTGTTGAAAAAAAACAAACAAACACTTGATACAGCCAAGGTCTGCAGAAGAGCTTCTCTGGAGACACAACACATTGAACCTTGAAGCAGATGAGCTAAAGCAACAGAAGAACACACACCTGTGCCAATCCTGTCAGCTAAGAACAGGAAACTAAGGCTACAATTCGCACAGGCTCACCAAAATTGGACAAAAGATGATTGGAAAAATGTTGCCTGGTCTATGACACTCGGTTGCTGCGACATTCAGATGGTAGGGTCAGAATTTGGCGTAAACAATATGGATCCATCCTGCTGCTGCTGCTGGAGGTGGTGTAATGGTGTGGGGGATATTTGATCACAATACTCATATTGCCCCCACAGTCACCAGATCTCAATCCAATAGAGCACCTTTGGGATGTGGTGGAACAGGAGATTCGCACCATGGATGTGTAGTCGACAAATTTGCAGCAACTGCGCGATGCTATCATGTCAGTATATGGACCAAAATCTCTGAGGAATGTTTCCAGCACCTTGTTGAATCTATTCCACAAAGAATTGATGCACTTCTGAAGGCAAAAGGGGGTCCAACCCGGTACTAGCAAGGTGTACCTAAGGAGGGTGGGAGTACATTTTGTTCATTGGAAATTAAATGGACCATTGTTGTTTGCTTGCTGCGATCTCATGCAAATGACATGTTACTCAACCCTTGTTTCAGTGCATTTGTCATGATTTCATGGTGATGAATAGATTAACTAATTTACCATCTACATGGAATTTTTTTTCTCCTGGGAAGAGCAGTCCCATTGCCAGTTTTTTTTTTTATTATCCTGTAACCCATATTAACTACAGTCGTGCTCAGAATTAATGGCACCCCTGGTAAATATGATCAAAACTGGCTGTAAAAAATAAATCTGCATCTTTTATCCTTTTGATCTTTCATTCAAAAAACTGCCAAAAATCTAACCTTTCATTGAAGTAAAATAATTGAAAGTGGGGGGGAAATCACATTATGAAATAAATGTTTTTACCAATTTTTGGTACCCCTAGAATTTTTTGCGAGTAAAATATCTCTGAAGTATATTCCCATTAATGTTTACCTTTTTTAGCACACCAGGGTGACATGAAATTATCCAGCCATGACTTCTTGTTTCACAGGAGTTTAAATATGAGGAAACACAAATGCCAAATTCCCTTAATCATCCATTACAATGAGTAAAACCAAAGAATATAGTTCTGATGTGCAGCAAAAGATTGTTGAGCTTCACAACATAGAAAGTGGCTGTAAGAAAATAGCTAAAGAATTGAAAATCCCCATTTTGACCATAAGGGCAATAATTAAGAAGTTCCAAACAACTAAAGATGTTACGAATCTGCCAGGAAGAGGACGTGTGTCTATATTGCCTTAATGGATGGTAAGGATGAAAGTTTGAGTGCCCATAGACTCTTCAAGGATCACAGAATGGAGAATTGCAGAGATTAGTTGTGTCTTGGGGTCAGAAAGCCTATAAAAAAAAATCAAACAACCCCTACATCACCACATGTTGTTTGGAAGGGTTTCAAGAAAAATCCTCCTCGCTCATCCAAAAACAAACTCCAGCAAATTCAGTTGTCAGACAAGACTGGAACTTCAAATGGCACAGGGTTCTGTGGTCAGATAAAAAAATAAAAAAAAAAGCTTTTTGGCAGCAAACACGCTAGATGGGTTTGGTGCACACAAGGTTAAAAAGTACCCCATGTGTACAATTTAATATACCATTTGGATCTTTAATGTTGTGGGCTTATTTTTCTGCTGGAGGTCCTGGACTTCTTGTTCAGATACATGGCATCGTGGATTCTATCAAATATCAACAGATAAAAAATCAAAACCTGACGCCTTCTGCTAGAAATCTTATAATGGGCCGTGGTTGGATCTTCCATCAGGACAACGGTCCAAAACAAACATCAAAATCAACACAAAAATTTGTTACGGAGCACAAAATTAAGCTTCTGCCATGACCGTCCCAGTTCCCTGACCTGATGAGTGGGTGAACTGAAGAGAAGAAGCACCAACGTGGATCTGCGAATCTGAAGGATCTGGAGAGATTCTGTATGGAGGAATGGTCTCTGATCTCTTGTCAGTTGTTCTCCAAACTCATCAGGCATTATTGGAGAAAACTCAGAGCTGTTATCTTGTCAAAAGGAGATTGCAAAAAGTATTTAATAAAAGGGTGCCAATAATTGTGGCCAACGTGTTTTGGAGAAAAAACATTTATTTCACAATGTGATTTCCCCCCCCACTTTCAATTCTTTTACTTCAATGAAAGGTTAGATTTTTGGCAATTTTTTGAATGAAAGATCAAAAGGATAAACGATGCAGATTTATTTTTTACAGCCAGTTTTGATCACATTTACCAGGGGTGCCATTAATTCTGAGCACGACTGTAAATGTTTACGTTTGTCAAACTCGACACAGCAAATTCATCCTGAACATCTTATAGAATGTCTTTCACAAAGTTTATCAAAGAATAGACCGCAAACGCAAGCCAAAGCCACTTGAAGCAAGCCTGCAACCTTGGCCGGAAAAAAGCGTAAAGTCTGCTAATGCTGCGGTATGCAGGGAAGGAGACGAGGCATTTTTTATGGATGTCAGTGGAGGAGAGTCTTCACTGTGCTGAACAAACTGATTTTGTGAGGAAATAGCTTATCATTTAATTAATTGACAGCCCATCAGCTAATCTTCAACACATTTGCCTTAAACTTTCGTTTTGGATTTATCTATTTTTAGAGTTTACACCGTAAAAAAAATGCTGTTTTATAAGAGAAGTCACAGACAATTGCACGACAGGTATGATTCAGTTTACAGCACTTCTCATTTATTTCTATGGTATCCACAAACACTAATTGACTGTCGCACAACTCTGAACGAAATTCAATGACTTCAAGGCTATAATGTGATTGGTGATCAAGGCACACTTGATCCAAGTTAGCCGTTATGCATTCTCCAATGGTAGAGCCACGGACCCTCATATCTCCCAATAATAAGACCATCTCTGCATAAATTTCGCATTTCACTGC